GACCGGCCGCCCGCTGGCAGCCGACTTTCCGCCGATGGTCCGGAGCGAGATGGCCAAGTCGCCTCCCACAGCGGCGGCGGCGGCGGCGCAGGAGCTCCAGATGGAACTGCTGGAGAACGCGGCTCCCGCGGGGGCGCTCGGAGCGGCCGCACAGGTAGCGTGAGGCGGCGCCGGCTCCTTTCTTTGTGAGCCGCGGGGCCGCGACCTTCCCCTCCCCGCGCGCGTCTCCGCCGGGACCCCTCGCCCGGCGCCCCCTGCCGCGCGGGTCTCCCTGCCACCTCCTCCGTCCCTCGCTCTTTGCCACCACTGCTCTCCCGGCCTCGGCGACCCTCCCCTCTTCGCCTTTCCCCGGTGCTTCTCCGGCTTCCATCTTTCTCTGCTTCGGAAAAGCAAGTAGCAAGGGGCGAAGGAGACCTCCCGGGCCGCCCGGGGCAGCCTCCTCGCTCTTCCCGGGAGAGGCACATGGGGAGACATGAACCAGGCGAGCGGACGGGACCTGCTCAAGATCGTGAGTCCGGGGGGTGGGGGCAAAGGGGCTCCCTCAGTTCTGCTCCCACGCCGACCCCTCTGGACTAGCTGTGAGCGGGCTGGGAGTGGGGGTGCTGTGGGGCGGGGGCTTCTGCTTCTGCCTCCCCGGAGCGCCTGGGACCTTGTGCCGCCTTGACAGCTCGGCTGTGCTCTGGCGCTTGCCAGGCTCGTCCGAATCCTCCCTTCCTTTCTCTCGAGGAGAGAGAGTTGGAGGCGCCAAAGTTTTTATTTTTCCTTGCCCCCTGAAATGTTAGCCCTTTCCAGGACCACCTTCTTATCCTGTGCGTGTGAGCGGCTTCTGGGAAAATTCTGGTTTGCTGCTTATTTTGAGATAGGAGATGTCAGTTGTGGGCATCAGGCAATGATAAGGTAGCTTTTACGTAAGGCTTTGGCAGGTACAGTTTGGATTACAGACACCTCCAGGTCTCAGCGGCAAGGCGTCTCCCAACTTTTATCCTAGCAGGGAAACGACTTAGACTCCCAGCTGTGGGCTGCTTGGCAGGCGATGGGAGGAGGTTAGGGTTACATTTCACGCATCATTCTAGAGAAAAGTCTCTTCTTTGCTTAACGACGTTGGCTTGTTGATTTCAAGCCAGTCTTTGCCAAATTGTGAATTCTCCCCCTCCCCCTCGCCTCCCTCCCTATCCCCTCTCGGCTCTCTCATTCCACTCCCCTCCCTCCCCCTGGGCTAGGCTCCTGCTTCCCTTTCTCTCCCTCCCTCCCTCCCTCCTCCAAGAAAGAGTTGGATCACCTGTGTCTCCTCCTAGACGCTAATATACATGTATATATCCACAGTTTATATATGTGTATAAAACAATGTATTTGAACACATATATTGTTATATATGAATGTATATAACAAAGTAGAGTATGTTAGAATTTTATTTACCTTAATAATGAGGACTTTGGTACAATGGAACTTTGTAATAGACATTATTAATGTTCCTGTTGTTCTGACTGGTGCTGGAAATTGCTCCAGAAATGTTGATACTGTTAATAATGGAGGTTCCAGACATAATTGTGGAATTTAATTTAACTTTTTTCCCCCCTGGGAAATAAAAGTTCTAACTTAAAACATGTATTTTACTTTGATTTGAGAAGGAGACGACTGTAGAAACCAAAATCTTATATAATCAGAAATCCATATATATTTGTGTTGTTGTTGTTGAGGTAACACAAGCTAGATGTGTTGTTCTGTCTTGGACTGTTTGTGCAGAGAGGATATGTGGAAATAACCACCTGCATTTCCATTTAGACTCTGCCAGTGGACCTGAATTCTTACCACCACATGTCATATTTGTTCTAGACGCCTGATTTTATCTAGACACTTATGAGGTTAGATCAGAGTGAAGAATGTTCTTGGAGACCTCCATTATTCCAGGATAAAGGTCTCAAGTATTGATAGAGGAAAGGACTTTTAGATCCTTTATTCTCTTTGATCTTTCTTAGAGATTTAAAAAAAAGATTGTTCTTATGGTAAAAGTAGAATTCCTGAATTCTTGGAGATTAATGTTAGAACTGATAGAAAACTTGACAGCGTTTGAATAAGCAATACTAATTTACCTAGTGATTTATATGGTTAACAAATATATATTATGCAACTGCAATGTGGAAATAACTCGGAAGTGAGACGATGCAACTTCTGCCTTAAAAGGACTTAAATTCCAGTAGCTGCAAGTGTAACAAATGTATGATGGTTGTATGATATGGAGCTATTAGAATAGTCCCATGATTTATATGTATTTTTTTTAAGATTTATTTATTTATGCATACAGTACGGGGAGGGGGGTGTTACAGCCAGAGGTGCAGGGGCAGTGAGAGGATTCACCAGAGACAGTGGGGAGCAGAACAGGCTGACTGACAAGTACACTGCTGAGGGGAGCAGCGGGCTGATCAGGAGAGGTCTGCTGTGCCATGTGGGTCACCTCAACCTTGTGAATCACCACTGGGGCAGGGTATCGAACTCATGCTGACGTGGCTTTAGCTTCTTAATGCTGCACCACCAGGGAGGGCCCTATATGTGGTTTTAAAGGAATAATGATAACAATTGTATTTGGAGGAATCTATACAGATTCACAGAAGGGTGGCATTTGAGAAGCAATTGAAAGATGGGTCAGGTTACATTAAAGATTATTCAGTGAGGTGTTAGGAAGCCATACATGAAGCAGAGTCACAGAAGTTAGAAGTCTTGTAGCAGACAGTTGTAATCCCAACCATGAAAATAGTTGGAAAGGTACAGGCTGGGCTTAGTTAAGTTGTTAAGGCAATTTGAGACCAGATCTTGGAAATTAGAGTCTGTAATTCCAAATTGTGTCGAGCAATAGAAGAGTCGTGGATATGGTTCAATGAAGGAGTCACATAACAGCTCATTCAAAAGAGTCACCTGGGAATGTTCTGTAAAGCAGTGTGGGTCTCAGGAGTCTAGTGGACTTGTAGGAGGGAGACTGATGAAACAGAATAAGAAGTGGTAAGGCCTCAACTACAGAGAGATAGATAACTACAGAGGAAAGATAATGTATATGACAGGTCTGTGTCTGAGACACTTCAAAGATTCCGTCCATAAGAACTGGCAAGTGGTTGCACAGATAAATGAGAAAAAGGAGAAAGAGAGGGCTGGATAGTTTAAGCAGGTAAGAGATATAAATATTTAACTGTGTCATCTATCTTCTTGCTCTCACTATCATCTAAAAATGAAAGCAGTTTTCTTTGACTTGTGTTCATTTCACATCCGTTATTTGAGGAAACATTGCTTTGTTTATTTTATAGCTAATAAATCACAGCATCGCAGGAGTGTGAAAACTTGGCAAAAATACCTATTCTCTTCTCTCTCTAGGTAGGACAGCCAGCAGTAAAACTGCCCGAGAAGGGAGGCTGTTTTAGCATCATCCCACTTTTCTGTGACACTAATAGTAATTCTTCTTAGAAATAGATTTTCATTTGCAAATAGTACTTCAAAGCAATCATTGGTTTCTAATATCCTTATTACTTCTGCATAATATTGTAAAGTTCTGTGTGAGTGAAGCAAAAGACATATACTCAGAGACTCCCATTTTTTCTGTTTTTTTTTTAATTTTTTAATTAATAATTCTGCTAGGAATTGTGAACCCCCTTTTCATGCATTGCCATGAATAAAATGGCTACATGAAAAGTAAGTGGCAGTCTAACTGCAAATTCTCAAAAGTTCTGCAGTAAGCAAATTGCTTCATTTTTTGAACTATTTGTTGAACAGTTCTCATGTAGGATTCTCTAGGTCTTCACTGTCCACTACAGTGGTCCACTGCAATAGCCACTACCCAGGTGTGGTTTTGACCATTTAACATATGACTAGTCCTAACTGAAATGTGCTGTAAATGTACACAACAGATTTCAGAGACTTATTAAGAAACAAAGTCTTCTAAGTCTCAGCACTATTATCACTAAGTCCAGAGTCCCATCCCCAGCCAGGGAGGTGACCCACAAATAGCGGGCAGATCTCTCTTGTCTTGCCCACTGCTCTCTGAGCAGTATATTTCAGTGAATCCATCTGTTCTGCTCCCTGCTCTGTCTCTGGTAAACCCTCTTGCTCCCTGTAACTCTGGCCTGTACCCCAGTAGTTCTATGCATAAAGAAAAATATTTTTAAAAATAAAAATTGAGCTGATTTCTTAAGGAAAAGTCATCTCAGTAATTTTTATATTGATTACATGTTGCAGTATAATATTTTTATATGTTAATTGGGTTAGATAAAATTCATTATTTCAACTGATTTTCACCTGTTGCCTTGTATCTTTTCCTTGTGGCTACCAGAGCATTTCAGTCACTAATGTGACTTATATTTCTTTTGGACAGCATTAGTCTACATGGCACTGGTAATTTTCCAAGGAGTTGACTAGATCCTGGATGAAGGCTGGTTGGATGGGAAGTAGAAGAAAGGGCTTGAGAATGGGGTGGTGACAGGAGGAAATGGAAGAGAAACAAGACCAGTATCTGAGCACGTTAGGTCTCAAGGAGATTGTAACAGCCACCTGCAGTCACACCTGAAAATGAACAGACAGTAACCAGAGGGCCTGTTTGTTTTGCTCCTAGCAACAGAATCCAGCTGGTTCCACCCCAGCTGAGTTTGCCAGATGCTTTTCAAGCGTGCTGTAGTAATACAGCCCAGTAATGGTAACATCCTGAGTTGCTGAAGCAAGGAGCTTTATCTAAAAGGGCAACAGCCATTCTCCCCTGGCTCTTGAACCAAGTTAAAACCATTTTCCAGAAACATTCTTAGTTCAGAGATACAGTTTAATCTTTTGCAGGCTCCAGATACTATGGTCATAGATCCGTTATGTTTCGTGTTTTTATGTCTTGTTAAAGATCTTCACTCCTGGGCCCTTGCTGGTAGTACAGTGGGTCAAAGCACAGCACTAAGAAGCTATCTGAAGCCACTGCAGCACGAGTTTGACACACACACACACACACACACACACACCACGGAGCTGACCCACATGGCAGCAGACCTCTTCTACCCACTGCCCAGTAGTGTATTTCAGTCTATCTGCCCATTCTGCTCCTTGCTCTGTCTCTGGTGCATTTTCTCACCCCCTCCTGACCTCTGGCCTGTACCCAGTTCTTGTATGCATAAATAAATAAATATTAAAAAAAAA